CGGGTCCTCATTTTACCCACCTCGGAAGGATGGAAGGCTGAGTCAACCCTGAGCCGGTGAGATTTGAACCGCTGAACTGCTGAACTAGCAGTCAGATGAAGTGGCCTGCAGTACTGCACCCTAACCACTGCGCCACCTCGGCATAAATTATTGCGTATACCATGGACAGACAGAACAACCAACAGAGAGTTGTTGAGTTGTACAAAACCAAATACATTATTAGAAGCCAAAATCACAAGACTACACCTCATTTGGCCATGTCATCCATGCATTGGAGTAGTCAATGATGGTTAGTGAAACAAGAACAGGCAAGCAAAGAACATGCTGGCTTGATAACATCAAAACTGATACAAAGATGAATATCCAACAACTGAAAGAAGTGTATTTGAAAGGAAAGCTAGGAAAAGGTACTTGTCTATAAAGTTGCCAAGAGTAAGACACAACAGTATGGTTAAAACAACAAATCACTACATGCAATTTCACCATTGTCTTGGTGAGATGTGGACTTGAAAGATATTTTCTAGATTTGGGGTACCTAGTTTATGCATGCCAGATAATGAAAGTCAAAAATGGTCATATGGTGGCACCAAAAATGGTGTATAGTAAACATGATAGTGTAATACAATGTTATAAAATCCTCTTTAAGTGGGAGATCTTGAAACATCTAATATTAGTTCTAATATTATATCCAGACAAATAATGTCACCTATTGATGTTTAGTTTCAAAGTTAAAATAAAAATAAAAATAAAAAAGTGTACCTTTCACAGAATTTCTAAAAAGCCATATAAAATTCTCAATTGATCAAAGTTACATGGATAGAGTAGGACAATATATATGGGTACATCTGGGTAGTGAACAATATAATATGGAAAATTACAACTTGGAATGCAGTGAAGTGAATGAAATGGATAAATATAACAGCATTTATGACTTAATGTCTTATAGCTTTTCTATCCAATCTTGGAAGAAAAACAAATTAAAAAATGACAATCGTTTCTAGCGTGCTCTGAGTGGATCATATGACTGCCCTTAAGAAGAGAGATAAACAAGCTATTACGAGAAACAAGCTATTATGAGATCTTTCTCTCTCTCTTCTAATAGGATTTTATATCTGCATATGTATCTGCATGTGTTTAATTATACACATAACACACATACTGATTAATCCTTTTAGAATTAATATAAATATACATATCGTTAATAGCAAATATATCTAGTCTGATTTTTTTACAATAAAATGACTCAAACAAATTTTACAATCTGATGTCAAAACCTACTGAACAGTTCATTAGGACAAACAGTCAATTAGCTAACATAATTTAAATGGAATTTGTTACAATTCATTAACATACTTGACTAAATGTTTCTATTCAAACATGAATTCTACTGAGGCCAGCAGGCTTTATATCCAAGGAACTTCATCTGAGGTTGCAAGATTAAAGATACCGAAATGCATATTGAAGTCTGTGCTTCAGAAGCATGCCTTACTGCAGAAGATATTAATTGTGTAGCTTCTCTTCTTGAATATAAAGGAGTCTCCAATGGATGAAGGGGCTTTTCTTCAGAATAAATGTTTTTATTTTATTTTAATTAGTGCTGTATTTCCATGATTATGTATAACTGTCAGAATAAGTGTCTATGGAGATTTTCAGAATGTCAGGATAATCCAATAAAATAAAATTGCAGAATAAACCAATAAAGGAAACACTTACCACAAAATTTAATAAAATGCCAAATAGTAACCAACATATTAAAATGTCATGAGTTCAATGAAAGCAGAAAAGTCTACAACAGCTAACTAACATGCTATCATTGTTGGAATCTTTATTATTCTTAATTACTGACTATAGATATACTTTATTATATTGGGCTGTATTATACTACCCCAGAGCTGTCAAACTCCCAGCCCACGGGCCAGATGTATCACATGCTGTCCACGCCCATGCCTGGTATAGCAAAGGGGAAAAAAGTCCTGATACGTCATGTGACGCCACTGTGACGATGGCAGTTTGACACCCCTGTACTACACACTCCTTTATTAGTAGGAGTTTACTAACTCCTATTAGACAACTGAGAGATAAGGTTGTGATATATTCTAAAGGTCAGCAATCATCTTACCATTATCTATTTCAAAGTCAGCAAAAGCAAGTTCTGAACCTTTATTGGTTATAAGTAATTCTCCATTGAGTGTAAATATAATAGACTTGTCCTCCAGATTGATCATGCAGCCTACTACATCTCCTACTTGCCAATTTCGTCCAAAGAATCCACTTCCCTGATGCCAACGTTGCCCCTGAAAAGTAAAATGGTTTAGATAATAAAGATATTCCACAAAAACTTAATGCTACGCTAAATAAGTTATGTTTTCAGGTATCACATGTTTTGTCATTGGTTTAGTACCGTCAAACTTATTGTGGCCTTTTTGCTTTTATTTATTGAAAACAAAACCAGAAAGAAAAATAAATGAAATACAACATGAATGAATGGATGGATGGATGGATGGATGGAAGGAAGGAAGGAAGGAAGGAAGGAAGGAAGGAAGGAAGGAAGGNATCCATCCATCCATCCATCCATCCATCCATCCATCCATCCTCCTCCCACTCACCCACCCATCCACCCACCCACCCAAGGAGGGTGTTATAGACTTCTTTTTCCCTAAACAAATCCCATAGTAGAATGGAATTATTTTAATAACAGGAGTCTTTTTTGTAATAATCTGGAATTGCAATGTTTAAAATGTATGTCAGAAAGTAAGCCCGGCTAAATTCTGATGTGATTGTGCAATGAAAAAAATATTTTATAACATTTATAAACACCAACTATTTGGTCAACAAATATTTGGATTTATTCATACAGGATGTGATGTCTTGCTATAGTAAATTATGGACAGTTTATGGACCCCAAGGCAGGAAAACACCCCTTTAATTTCAGAGAAAAATATAGATAGGAAATATTTATAGACATGGCATCAAAACAAGAAATGACAACTTGATTTATGAGCACAATTGGAATCAGAATTTTTCTTGCTAGGTAGCTTGTTAAACAAATCCGCCGAATATTTTACTATTTTGGTTGTGTGTATCCCCCCCTCCCCCCTGCATTTGATATATTCAGTTTCTTTTTGATTGCTAAGTTTTGTGCAGTGGATGTTTTGTTGTTTTTATTATTACCTGCCCAAGTTTATTGTTTGATTATGCACAAACATATTTTTTTACAGAAAAGTACAGAGGAAAATAGGATGTACTATCTACCAAGGCCTTAATCAGTCACTGGACATATGCAATAGTAGTATACTATATACCATGCTCTGCTTTCTCTCTTTTCTCTCAAGCAATTATCTTGAATGTGTAGGGAAACAATGTTGGAATTCACCATTAAAATTTGTGAGCTTCTACATGAGAGTTTAATGAGTAAAAATGAATTTAACAGCATTTTAATTCTATGCCTTTTGTGGACAATTATGATTTCCACAGTACAATATAGGAATTTAATAGCTATATTTCCATCGTCTTGAATTCATATTAACATCAGTAATACACTATTCACTCATTATACTCTTTAAAAAGTACATTTAGTTTTGAGTGAATGAGGTAAGATCACCAGGGATAGTTAAAATATGTAGAAGAATTTAAGCTACAAGAGTTTTTCAACTAATTGATTTGACTTAATATTTTCAAATGTGCAGATTGAATTTTATGTCTATTAATAGGCTGACTTCCATCAAAATGGTAGATTAAACAGTGATTTACTACTGTATGGCTTGTACAGACTAAGACAAATTATGAAGGCCTGTATGTAATTTGGACAATAAGCTTATTTATTCATTTATTTATAATTCCACAAAAATGAATCTAGGCAGCAAATAGAGAGCTAAAATCATGCAAAACCAGAGTATAAAATCAGATAAGTAATATATATTGCAAGATCTAACATTAGACATTTCTTGTCCAAGAAATTAACCAATCAATAAATTGGCAGAGCTAATTTAACCTGCAACCCTATGACATAAAATGATTTATAGGTAATAGCCAGCACCTTAAAATTGAACATTGAAGCTAATTGATAATCAGCACAACTCACGAAACAGTGAGAACATGTCACCACAATGACACTCACAGCATTGTCCCTACTGCTGCCCTCAAGGTCTGCTAGTTCTAGCTTCAGGGATGTCTCTGATTAGTACACACATTCCCTTAGCCAGCAATACAAAGTATCTAANAACAGGGGAAATGACAGGCAATCCATCTGAGAGTTAAATAGGAGATGGAGAAAAAGAGTCAGGATAACCACTTGCTAGAACCTCCCAGGGTATGTCTATTGATATGAGAGTAGTAAAGATTGAGTCTGGCAACATTCTGTCTATTGGGAATAAGCAAATAAACTATGAACTTTGGCTGTATTGCTCTATGGTGTTCTTGGGATGGCCTAACAGGCTACCTGAGCACCCTTATTTTTAGAGGCAAGACACTGCCTGTCTTGTTTATATTAGAGATCCATCAGTTGATTATCAGGTCCTTCTACCAATTTACTTGTTGAATTTTTTTTCATGGATTGGCTGTCAGACAGTTGGTGTTATGAGATTTTCCTTTACAAATCTAACTCACTTTTATAGAGATAATGGAGGGGAACTATCAGGCCAAACAAATCACAAAAACATGGGGAGTTATTTCAGGGTAGGTTTTTTTAATTGTTATTTGCCTAGAAACAGAAATTTTGCCAGACTAAAACACTTACTGTAGCTGCCTTACTATTAAACATATCATGTAAACTGCTGGAGAATGGGGCTCTTTTCCTACATATCAAAGATACCAAGCGAGGTTGCCTCTTTAATTTTTGATAGAAAATTTAGGTTTCTGACGGAACATTAATTTATGGTTTTCTGAGGTAGGACAGAAGAGAAGCCTAAGGCATTATTGGAAAAAGACTGACCAAATATGTATTATCCCACATTAGAGATTACATTGTGGAATATAAATGGTGAAACATCCTTATCTTTAGGCTCTTATTGCTGGCAGTGCTGCAAGATGGCACATGGAGTTCAAAAGAAAGAAATGCAAAAGAAGCCAGGGCAGTTAACAGAAGGTGGGAGGTTTCTTTTAGGTTTGATAAGAGATGATTCTGGAGGAGTGGTGAGTGAAAAAGACATGGAACAGAGGAAGCAAAGACTCAGAAAACCAGAAGCCAGGATCCATAGCCAGAGAGAAGATCTAGGATGGTGTCAGAGGTGGTTGATACCAAAGAATAACCTGCAGCAAAGAGTCAGCAGAAAGATAATGCAACTTTAGATAGAAGCAAACCATGTGGGTCAGGAGATTAAAAATTCTGGGCAAGAGAATATTAAGGGGGGGGGATATTAGCATTCCTAAACTGATAAATAAGATATGGGGG